ACACTTATCCTGCTCAGGAAACAGAATATCATGATATTTCCTATATGTTCAAATGCCGTTGAAAAAAATTATGTAATATTTCAGTGATAAATTGATCAATCTTGTAGATTTAATTTCAAATATTGTGCAAATATGAGAACGTAACAATCTTCTCACAAACAAATAGAATAAGACAATTAGGCAAATCACTTGGCATAATATTTTCCAGTCAATGGAAGCATGTACTCAAAGATACATATACTTTATTCCTTATCTCTTAACTGTCTTTGGTACTTAATGATCATTAGCTCTTAAGTAATGTATTCCTCACATGTCCTTCTCTTAAGCATACCGTAGGTGAATGATTGATTCTAGCAAGTTAGAAAGATACATTAGAGAAATTTTAGAAAATCACTCAGATCACTGAGGCTTGTCCCTTCTACCACTCTGTCTTTTCAGGATATTATTGATGCTAGCTGCTTTTTAAACAGTTCGTGTGCAGCAGCCTTGCCAAGCAGGTGATTCTAAATACTTCTGGAGAATCAACAAAGCACTGTATTTCTTCTATGTTGAAGATGAACAACTGCTGTCTCTTGGCCTGACACATTCAAGTCACACACCTTCACTGGGTAATACAAGCATATAATAGCATTTTCCTCATTTACATGCACTCCTGACTGTCACAGCCAGAAAGAAACTCATGCTCTGAAAACTGACAGAAATGGAAGCTTGAAATATGAAAAAGGCATTTCTCTAATTGTAATGAAAAAAAAAAAAAACCAAAACCAACAAACAACAAAAAAACCCACAAAAAAAACCACAAACCCAAACCCCAACATTTAAATGTAGAATAATTTCTGGAAATAAATAACTCCTAATACTGCCTGGACACTGGATCATTTCTGGACTCATCATCATCATCATCACATAAATGACACAATGATCAGGAAACTAGATTACTAGGTATGAACAAAATCTAATTTACAAAGGTGCAGTTGAACACATGGCAGCAATCTTAAGCCAAACCACTTATCAAGTCTTTTTCTCTTTTTGTTTCAAATCTGAGTATTCTGAGGACACATGACATCTGTAATAATTTTAAATCAATAGTCTCCAACCTCTGTCAACCTCTGTCCAGTTTCAGGCAAACCTAACAAAAGGGCAGAGGCCTCAAAGACATTAAGATCCTACAAGTCCCTTAGCAATTACTGGTTGCATAGAAGAGAAAGACCTGCTAAAAGCAAATCAGAGAAAATTCTGCTTTACTCATCTCATTTGGCAGCAGCCAAGAGGTCAATCAGCAGGCAGATAGCGACATAGGAGCACGGGACAGTCTACAGTGCATGGCGGTGGGGAGTGACAAGATACTGATGGCTATGTATGGAGATCATAGGAACTGCATGTACTGTGTGGAACTGGGGATATGGTAAGGACCATATTGGAGTGTAAATTCCAAAAGAAAATCAACAGCAGATACCTTTGCACTTAATTAACTAATGAGTTATATTAACAAGGTTAGATTGTAGAGACCTTACACAGAACAGAATTTATGTCTACTTCTGGGATGGGAACTTACTTTTTCATAACTAACGAATATTTTCACACAACATTCCTACTTAAACATAGCTCATACAACGACACTGCAAAAAATGAGGCAAAACTAATTATGCATATACATAATTTCACATTATGTCTATATACTGCTGTGAAACAACCAAGCCTCAACAATCAAGCCTTATAAAAAATGTTTTAAGGAATGTCTTGTATTTAAATTCTGCTTTATCCTAAAGAAATGAGCTAGATATATCAAACAAAAGATATCTACAAATGAGGTATCAGGGAAACCATTTCCTTGTAAAATTAGACTGTACACACAGTAACTACAGATCTACACACTGTCCAGAGTGTAATCATTAGTACCTGATGGACAAAATATGTCAGTGGAAGCATCCGCCTAGTGTGATGATCTTAACGCAATCAGAATCTATTCATTGTAAACAAAGCAAAACACGCACAATCTATTCATCCTAAACAAGACCAGAGAGAATTTATGAAAGAAAACTATACAGAAAATTCTGATGTAACTCAAGGCTGATAACTGTGTCTTCAGTAGATGTAACATTTTCTATCAGATTACTGAAATAAATTTATGACTATGAAATTCCATCAACCAAGTGGATCTGTCAGTGGTAAAACTAACAAGAACTGAGAGATGCCGATTATTGACAAGCAAAAATCTTCCCATGCAGAGTACTGCCTGTCAGCTTACATTAAATAGATAGTTCATTTATGACTGTACTCTCTAAAGAAAGGAAATTTGTGGTGATGAAGAAAAAGAAATCAGTATTGTACAAGATAAACTGAAGTAATTTATATACAATATGTATTTGAGGTTTCAAATTCCTGTGAATTCGTGCTGAATTCACAACCCCTTGCCTACTTCTGAGATATACTACTGTGTTTTGCAAGCAGAATTTTTCAGCTATGTTTCCTATTCCATTGTTATTAACATGTATTTCAGAATTGCAACCATCAAACTGATAAAAATATGCAGTAATGTTTCATTGTCTTCCTCATGACTTTGATATTTTGGAAAATTAGCTCTTTTGTTAGTTATTTCTTTGAAAAAAAAGTCAGCTATATTTAGAGTGAGTACAGTAAAAAAACACAGTAAATTAATTTTAGTAGATATATTTAAAACCTCTAATTCTAAGTTTTAATTAGATTTTTAAAGTGTTTCTTTAACGGAGACAAATCCTGCATACCTTGCTCCATATGCATCTCTAATCAACACTAATCTACCAAAGCCAGAAAGGTATGAACTTTTAAATATATAAAATAAAGCTTATTTCTAAATAAAACAAATAATAAAAGCATCAGTCAGATGTTCTTCACATCATGTTCTCAAGTAAAGTACTCATACAGTTAGAGTCAGATTCAAAACTCACAAGTATGGTAATGGATAAAAGGAAACTAACCAAAAGAAAGTCTGCAGTTTAGGTGAGGCTCAGCCTGTCCCAAGGGTTATACACTTGATATATGCAGTTTTGGTTAGCACTTCCCTTGAATTCAATTCTGAATGTGACAAGCCTCAATAAGAATCATTTAGCATTCCGTCTATTAAGGAAATTGAAGAGAAATTTAACTGAAAATCATGGCATACAAAGAAAAGAGAAGAAAAATAAGCAATGAAGTTACTTCTATTAGTGCAATACTCATGTATTATTGTAATAGTTTATGACGCTAAAATGGCCTGATTTTAGATCATCTATACTTTCGTTCTGTATCACTAACATATAGCTAACTTTCCTTTGCAAAGGGTTTAAATGATACTCGTTGAAAAGGAGTAAAAAGGTGATGTTACAGTCATAACTGTGGGATAGGAATCCTGTGTAAGGAAAGATAAAGCAAATGTCTGTACTCTACAAGACTTTTTCTAGATCAATATTTTCTGTTTAAAATTACAAATGTTAAAATACATTTTTCTGGTTTGCTTTTTAAATAATGAGTTTTCACTAAATGTGAAATGACTTTTGTAGTTTTCAATAGTATTTTTTGCAATCATTAGAATCCCTTACAATGTATAGAATATAAACTGAACATATTTCTTCCATTTCTGAAAAAATACTAATACAGGTAAAGAAATATATGCGCCGACATACAGTTCTGCCTGCCAGTCAGTTTAATATCGAAAATCTTCCATTCAAAATAAAACAGGCTAATTCTTGAAACCTGATATGTAGGGATCTATTTGTCTCGAGTTTGCAGGAAACTTAGGACATTTTTTATACTTTAACTATTTTAGATGTTATATTTGTTCAAAGATATGCCTTACCTTTTGCCTTTCCAATAGTTAGGAAGTACTAAATAGAGTGATGGATGCAATGACAATTCTGTGGAACATAAAACCAAATATACTTTATTTAAGGCTGTGTTTCAAAGGCTTTATGTTTTTATGTGTTTGTGAGAGACAGAAAAAATACTAATATCTTCAACACTTTTAATAAGCCTTCTGCATTCTTGACCAGATTTTACGTAATTTGTATTGTTAGGAAGGCTTTTTTTTTTCCCTGGAGCTTTGTGATCTCTATTATTGTTTATATATCTTCTCTCTCAAACACCTTAATCCATTTCCTGGTGGATGTACCTATAGCTACCAGTCCATTAAGTTTTACAAGGGCTCATGCAATGTCTCAGTCCAGATTACAATATTCTTCTTGTCCTTGAGCCAATCTTCAAAGGAAAGCAGGTTTAACTATGCAATTACATTCCAGAAGACTTTTAAATAAATTGCCGACTGAATTCAGAAATCCTACAAGACTCCAGCTGCTGTGTCAGGTCAATGTGCACCCAATGAGTTGGATAGAAATGAAATTCCTATTAGTAGTCATACTAAGATATTCTAAGAGTATTCCAGCATATACGTTTAATATATGCATGTGAGAACATTTGGTTTGACATCAATATAGACAATTCATTTAACTAGGATAAAGGCAGACTCCACCGTAGCATAACGACAGTGTGAAACAGCTTAGGTTTTGACTATCTGTAATGTAAAAAGTGATCTTAAAAGTTCACATGGGTAGAGAGACAGAAATAGAAGAAAAAAATTGATAGATGTATATGAAGGCAGCCGAAGGCATGCTGGATTAAGTTTTTTAATGTGTTACCTTTTGTTGTTGTCTACCATTGGAACAATGTAATTCACTTGGATCAAAATCACACAGTTGAGATATATATTCAGAAAGGAATTGAGAATAACCCACATGACCAAAGAGTGTCCCTTTGTCACCCCTCTCACTCTTACTCAGTGTTTAATTAAAAGAAATCTTCACTTGTTTAATTGAAATAAATATTCTAGCTATGCTATCTCTGTGCTTCATCTGAAAACACTGGAAAACCGAAAACTATTGGTGAATCCAAAGACTTCCGAAGCTGCCTTCTCCCCATGAATTTGAATACTAATTGGATTTCGCTAACAGCTTCTTTTCGAATCAGTTATATGCTGAAATTGTACATACTCTGAGGAAACCTGGGTGGATTGTCGTTGACATCAGTGAGTGTGATATTTACAGTTGTTGACCCTGACAGCCCTCCGACCTGCCCAGCCATATCTTTGGCTTGAATGACAACGGAATAATGCTCTCTGGCTTCCCTGTCCATGTTGTGCAAGGCAGTCCTGATGACTCCTGTGATGGAAAGAAAACAAACAAACAAAAGAAAGATCAGGATTAGCTTGTTTGAGCAGGAGGAAAGGTTAATCATAACCTTTCTTTTCAGGAAAGGTGGAGCATGGCAGAGTTTCTGGAAATGCAAAGCTTTTCTACATTCAAAATAAGATGGCTTTAGCTGTTTGTGTTGTGTATATATATGAAAATATAAAAATATATATATAAAGCAATGCCAGATGCTGCTAGACAATCAACTTTCTTGAGAATATGAATAAAAATTATATATATTAAACAACTATTATATTAATAATTAATCAAACTGATATAACATTCCCAGCCAAAAGGTACATTGCCAAAGTTCCAGTTTTCTATCATAACTGTTTAAATAGCTACTTAATGGGAACTCTTTCCCCACTGAAGAAGACACAAATTCATTTTCAAGAAAAGTTAATTTCTGAATTAAAACATGACATACTTCTTAAAACTACTCAAATGCTCAACTTTCTTATTCGACAAATCTCAAAAGCCTATACTTTCTTATTTGGTACATTCCAATCATACACATTTATGTTCATATGTGTTTTACACTTGCAAAGTGAAATATAAGCTATTATTTTTTTCACTACAGTACAGAGAGAACACCAAAACAGTGATTCTAAAATTCTATTTATTTTTATCCATCAGCATCAGAAATTATTTTAACATGTAGTCAATTACATATGCAGAAGTAAAGATTACAACAAAGGAGGAACAGTCAGCTCCGTGGGCTCAGTTTCAGTTATGGGACATTTTTCACTTTGATGGTATCTGTAAATTAGTTCTTGCTAATTTCTGTGATCACAGGCTGACAGAAACCTCATGGAGTTCAATAAAAGGAAATGTCAAGTCCTGTGCCAGGGAACCAGTACATACTGTGGACAGACTAGCTGGGAAGCAGCTTTTCAGAAATCACTCTAGGGTGTCCTCAAGTTGGACATGAGTTGGCAATGTGCTATTGCAGCAAAGAAGCTGTCCTGGTTTGAGTGAGTGGCAGGGTTTTTTGGTAGCAGGGGAGGGTGTTACAGCAGTGGTCCCTGTGAAAAGATTCTTGGGGCTTCCCCAGCTCCAGGTCAGAACAATCTTTGCACCAAGCCTGGGCTGCACCTCTGAAATAATGTATGTAAGAAGGGGAACCTGGGAGGAGTTGTGTGAGTTTTGAGGAGGACTTTCAAGGAGAACATCTGTGCGAACACCGAGGTCAGCGGAAGAAAGGAGGAGGGTGGGAGGTGCACCAGAGCAGAGACTCCCCTGTACCCCGTGGTGAGGCGGCAGGGCTGCCCCCCGCTGCCGCCCATAGGGGTCATGGTGGAGCAGGGGGCCCCACACGGGGACAGGTGACTGCGCCCGAAGACGGCCAGGGCCCTGTGGGAAGGAACCCTCGCTGTTGTAGTTCAGCGCTGGGAGGATTGCAACATGTGCAGGTGACCAACATGCCCATGGGAGGGATTCATGTTGGAGTTGATTCGTGGAAGACTGCCTGCTGTGAGAGGGTGACAGTGATGGAACAGGGGAGGAATGCTAGACATTGCTCCCCCTGAGGTGGAAGAAGCAGCAGGACTGACTGCACCCCCCATTCCCTGCCCCCTGTGCCGCTGGAGGGGAATAGGTAGGGATATTGGGAGAAAAGCTGAGCCCGGGAAGAAGGGAGGGATGGGGGGAGGTGTTTTCAAGATGTGGTAATGCTTCTCACAGCCCTACTCTGTTTGGTTTTTTTAGTGTCTACATTATGTTCTTTTTTCTTCCCTAACAAGTCTGTCTCTTGCCTCCCTTAAAGGATGATGCCATCCCTCCCGGTCCTTATCTCAATTTCTGGGCCCTTTGTTTTTCTCCTTCTCAGCGCTGCAGGGGATGGGGTAAGTGAGCAGCTGCATGGTACTCAGTTGCCCGCTGAGTTCAAACTATGACACAAGGGCAAGAGCATCTCAGGCTGCATTATGAAAAGTATTGTCAGCAGGTCAAGAGAGGGGATCCTTCTCCTCTGCTGACCACTGGTGAGGCCACATTTGGAGTGCTTGATTCAGTTCTTGGCTCACCAGTACATAAAAGATATTGATAGACTGGAGTGAGCTACATAGGAATAAATAAAGGAATATGTGAAATGTGAAATTTATTAAGTTTCAAAAAACCCTAGATTTTTAACATAACTTGGTTTTGGACTTTTAAACTGAGTGGCTGTAAACAACCAGTAAGCAAATATACCACAGCAAGACCAGATGTTGCTTCTGGGTAAATTTTAAACATAATAGCTATTAAGAGAAAGCAATTCAAGTTTGTTTGCCTTGTTCTTCTAGACAACTTGCTGTACAGCATGATTCTCAAGGTTTTTATTCCCACAGTCTCAGACGATGCAAAAAGTGATTTCCAGAACACTAATTTTCTAGTACTTCAAAATCACTTTCTTTGCATTTCTTCAATAAAACCATTTAACCATTATTACATATGGAATGGAAATTTGATGTAGCTTATACCATTGCTTCCATTTTATGCTGAAAACAAATCAGACATAAATAGAAGTATCCACAAAAAAAAAATATTTTAAAGTATCAATGAAGATTAAGAATGATTTCATCAGAAGCACAGATTCTGAAGAAGCTGGCTAAAACTAGTATACCAGTCTGTTTTAGCTGATCAGTGTTCTTTATATTAAAATGATAGTTAGATATATTTTTTTCACAATTTTCATCATGATATACCAGAATTAATTACAATTTATACATACTATTAACCACAACTTATACAAACTATAACAGAAAGTCATGGAGACATTCGGATAAAAGGAACTTATATAACTTAAATACACAGCTTCATCAAGATGTGGTTCACAAAATCTGATAAAACTGTTCTGAAAATTCATTTTACAGAAAAATAGTAAGATAGAAAAGTATTAAAATTAAAAATGTTCTGCTTTAACATTTTTCAAATAAACAGTTTCAGTACTTCACATTGAAACTGAATTTATTGGAACATTCAAGGATTATGTATATGCATGGAGAGAATATGGGATTTTTTTTTTTAAAAAAACCCCTTTCATTTCAATTTGAAAAAGATCATATTTTACATAGTGGAACATCTGTACAATCCTCACAAATACACTAGTCATGTACATTTTTAAACTAATTTAAACAAACAGAAATTCCTCTGAATTACAATTACTTTCCTCTTACTTTTTGCTTCCAGGGGTATGGTACTGAATCAATGCTTGTAGACAGTTAATAAGTATTTGTGGATGAATAATCATTTGATCTCTTCTACTTGCATCATATTATTTTCTGAAAACTGAGTAAATGAAAATAGGCAAGTTTCTACTTTCAAAAACTTGTATCCAAAGTTTAGAATAAGAAAACTGGTTTTAAGCTTGGGATATGATGAAGGACAGGAGATAAGAGAAGATTTAGTTCTCTCTGATTTCTTGGTTGCATATACACACATACATCCTAAAATTGTATCATTGGTATGAGGTATGTGACTACCATGAGGACCCTAATGGTCTATCCTTGTCACTATCAGCTCCAACAACTCTTCCAGCACTACAGCACCAAAACCATACATAATTTCAAATTTGTCTAATGACCCGAAAAGGTCTAAGGAGCCTTTGGTCGCCTTTCCCAATGAGATAATATGAAGGTTCCAGCAGTTCCTTTTAAAGCAGGAATTGCCCCTGAGTATCTTCAGTACACTTGGCAGGTGCTCCTATACATCCCACAAGAAGACAGGAAGTTCATATTAAGGAAGATAACTCCTTGTCTAAAACAGTGAGGAAATAAACTTAAAAAGAAAACTGTCACAGGCTTTTCAAATTTAAACACGGCCTTAATTTTGCCTCCTGTTTGTTAGGCAGCACTGTGACCCTGTTAACTGAGTACTTTTCAGCTATGTTTCCAATATTTATTCATCTTTACTAAAAAAAGGAAAAAAACCAAACCAAAACAAAAAAAAAACAACAACCAAAAAAACCCAATTTGTAGACATCATTATGGGGACACCCCAACCTGTTTCTGGTATTAAGACTTTTTACAGAAGTTTGACTGCTCCGTGAAAAATCACGTACAACATGTGGAGGTTTAGATCTATTGAAATGGAGTTGAAAAGGTGTCACATCCCAATTTCTTGGGATGACAACTCAGTTTCACCAATTCCCAGGTCAGGATTAAGGTGAAATGATAGCAAGGATTCTTCAATTCAAAAAACTCAATTTTTATTCACTCACAACAGATATTTGGCAAGAAACTTTGTCAGTAATGTTTGCAACCTCTGCAACAGGCATTAAACTTACACTGACTAGGGGCAGATCCTATAACATACCCCAATAAACCTTGAATATGCCCAAACAAGCCTTCCCTCATATGCTGGCATACAGAATAAGAATGGCAGAGAAAAGGGGAGAAAGAGTGGAAAATGAGAGTGAGAGACATAGACAAAAAAGGAAGATTTCACCAGTCCTGGTTCCAGCATTGGTCCAGACAGACTAGGGGTCCAGCTCCGGAGGGGCGCAGCCACGCTGGGGCTCTGACTTGTGTCCTTTTATAATTCATTGCCTCTCCTTCAGGAGAGGACTTGGACTCATTGGGCTAATTAGGCATCATGCACAGTTTCTGCTTCTAGAATTCTTCTTGATTTTGCTACATGTACAGTTTGTACCTTCAGATTCTTCTGGAAATAAGTCAATGGGCTTGGGGGTCGTTGGGGAGTTATTTCTCCTCTTTGCATGTGTGATCATTGTTTCACCTTTCTGTTTGACACATGCATTGTGGAAATGGCTTCTCTATTGGCTTTTCACAGAGTTGTTCAGGATAGGGAATTTCAGACTCTGAGTGCAGTGCCACCTCTACAGGACCTCCTCCTCTTGCTGCACCTCCCTGCCATCACCTACGTAGCCCCAGCATTTCCATATAAACAATTTCCTTTGTCAAAGTTCTTTATCGGATGGTTGAGACATTACCTGTTGTTTCATTGGACTGTCACAGAGGGCACAGCTCTGG